ATTGAGCTGGCGAACCTGATACAAAAGTGGATAACTGCAATAAAGAAGCTGAATGATGCATTTGTGAGACTGGCTTTCTGAACTAGGAGGTTGGTCTTCATGTCTCACTTGCATCGTAGCTTTGTGAATTTAGGTATGACTGTTGCCTCATTCGCATTGCTAAAACCTCTTTTTTTGATATCTTACTTATAACTTACCTGGAAATTTAGGGCATTTTATTGGAGCTAATAAACAAGAGAATGTTCTTATTTGCCTACTTGGTATAGTGCAATTTATTTCTTCCTTTTTTGTTGGTGTAACTAAAACAAAATGGAAAGCATGGATAAAATCTGACCAATACCTCTTCTCTCTCCCCTTTCCTATACCTTTTATGACTGTTCATATCAGCGAATTTCGGTTCACTATACCCGAAATCTCGCGATTAGGGTTCAAATACCCATCTATCTCGTGGTTCGTCATTATAGATCTCTACTGGCTGCGATTGCAAGCTGTGAATATTGTTTGGGTTCACTTCACTTGCCTTCAGTGTGACCACCATCTAAGTTACTACAACTGCTCTATCGTTGTTCTGTTTGCTTTGGCCACTTTTAGCGAAATAACTTGCTTTGTTCCTTTTGTTGCTGTGTTTAAACCCAAATAGCTATGTTGCTGCCACTGTTTTGCTGTAGTTGTTTGTTGTTGTTTTGTTCCTGATTGGCTTTGTTGCTATATAGAACTATTACTTTGTTGACTTGCTATGAATTGTAATTGGGTTTTTTTGTTGAATACTATTGAATTAATATTGATTGTTGATGGTTATAAGAATAATAAAAATGGGATTTTTTTTTATTTATCCTCGCCGTACCCGTATCCTATTTTTTTAGATTTTGCCATATCGCTGTATCCATATTGTATGTATCCGTATCCCGTATCCATGACCATGCTTCATAGGTGCGGCCTTTGGTTGTGTCTCCTTAACCATTGCTCTATGCTTTGTCCCTTCTCTTTTTGTGAAGTCTCGCTTATATTCCCCTAAATCCACTATTTTCAGTGGCATCTATGGCTGTGGAAAGACCTCTTTTGGAGCCAATAAAATGGTGTAGAGCTCACATTGTCGCCACAATAGTCAAAATCCACAGAAACTGCAGGGCATGGAGGGGAAGGAGAGAGGTAGTGTTGGGGTTGGGGGGGCTACGGGTGTTGCAGAGGGGAGAGAGCTGTTGTCCGACCAAGAGTTTGGGTTAGGGTAGCCCGGGACAAGATGTGGGCCTACTACTCCCTTTTTTTTTTCCCTTTCCCCCCCCCCCTCTTTATTTTTGGCCAATTTAGACATAATTATGAGGGGTGAATTCGTTCTCACCAGAAATTATCCTCAATTGGGGTTTTCTTATCATTTTGATGATGGCAAGGGGTGACTACAACCAACCTTCAATTACGTCAATTTTGTTCTCCAACCTTGATCCTTAGTCATATAATTCAAAATCTTATTGTTCCCTTTGTGGGTCATAACCTCGATTCTTCCTTCGATTATAGCGTTTTGGATCCGAATCCTCTAGAAGGGGCCATTATCTATCCTGGTCCATAGTTATTAGCCTAATACTTTGACCATTGCACCAAGTCATAACTTGGACAATTAGATCTGGTGAATCAAAATTGGAGCTAATGACATTTTACGTCCAGAAAGATCTTGAAAATTTCATTCTACCCCTTCAAACTTGAATTTCTCGAAATGCTAGTAATGTGCCTAAACAACTAACGATGTTTGGTGTTCTGCATTTAAAGATGTCACGATTACACTTTCCCCTTGAAATTATTTAGTAGTTTCATTTTGCCCCATCAAAAATTAATTGCCACAGATCATGTGCATGGCGTGTGGGATGTCAAGTGACAATAAATCTGCCATGTTGACTAACTGGGATGTTAATGAATTTAGGCGGTAATATGAGACTCTTGATCTTGGAAGTGTTAAAAAGAAAATTCTATAATCTTTCAACGGGCATACGGCATTGGCCCTTTAAAAATTGTCAATTTAGTTCTATTCTTATTATTGGCTGCTAGATTTAAAGAGTTCCAAATTTCATTAGTAGGTTTTTAAGGAAGGGTATTTGACATTAATTTGATCTTAAGTGATTGTCCTCGACTGAAATTGTTTAATCTCAGAAATTGAGATGATTCCAAAATGATTTAACCTTTGGATAGAGACTACCGGTTAAATGATTGGCTCCATTTTGGCATTCCAGAACATAATATTCAAAGTCCTGCTGACTGTTTTGAATCTTCAAATCTATAGATCAAAGCAACCCACTCTCAGTTTCCAACCAAGAAGAGAAGCATATAGAGGGTATAAATAAACATTGGAATTCATTGTACACGCATTGTGTGTGCTGAAATCTATTGAATGCAAAAGATATGTACAATGTAAGGGTGTCAAACGTGTCAGGTTGGGTCATTTCGTGTCAAGTTGATTTTGAGTTTGTGTTAAAAATTCTAAAACACAAATCTGATATGTTTAATAATCGTGTCGAGATGTTTAAATACTAATCTGACCTGGTTGTTAAACAGGTTATCCGAACCCGACATGTTTGACATGTTTAATAACCAGGTTGTTTTCGGATTAACACACATAACATGATCTGTTTAACCTGTTTAACACACATAACTTGTTTTCACACCTGTTCATTACTATTAATACACTATTTAATCATTCATCCAAAATTTCAAATAATTTTTTAATTAATAACATATCACGTCTCATCAATGAAATTAACTAAAATGCATTCAAGGTTCAACCCAAAAATTAAAGTAAAAACTATACTATTATAATGCCATAATAATGTTAAGAAATATACTATCAATTACTATAGTAAAAATTATAACTAATAAGTAATAATGTTAAGATCACATTAGTCATACGTAATAGGCAAATTATACTGTCATAAACGGATTTACAATGAGTTAGATCGGGTTTGTGTCTGAATCATGTCAACCCGTTTAAAATATACGTGTTAATCAAGTCAAAATCAAGTTGACTTGATTTTGACATAAACCCGACATGATTTTTTTCGTGGTTAAATGTGTTGACCTATTTTTACCCATTGACCTATTTAATTTTGTATCTGACTCATTAATTTCGTGTTCAGCTTGTATCGTGTTAACGTGTCATGTCAAACATTGACTCCCCTAGTACTATGGTAAGAGACAAAATTAATAAGTGAAAAAAAAGGATCTAATTGATTATCTTTTTTCCTTTAGATGTGGATAAAGGGGGAAAACTGGGGAAAGGGAGGAGAGGTAGACAGATATGCTGCTAGGGGAGGTTTAGAAAGACTATTTAATTGTGGGTGCTTGGCTGAGGATGAGCCTAACTGACTAAGCCTTCTACATGCCGTTCTTTGGCTTGATATGTAGCTATAGATACTTCAGAAAGACTACAATAAACGAAAGCCTTGGTGGTTTTGACCTTACTGACCTGGGCAGCATTATTGACAATCACTTTTTTGACAGGAAACAAACTTTTATTAGTAAATAAAATAATGCGCCTACACTGGAATTGCCTCTCCTGTGTCAGGTACAACCCACTAGCCCAAGACCCGAGTTCTGACCCATTGGTGGCCAAGTTCAGCCTTTACTTGTGCCAATTAAGGGTTCACTTAAAGTGCTTTTTACATCTTTGACGAAAGCAGTGGCGAAGATCAGATCAGATTGATTCATCAAGCCAAAGTGCCCAACCAATTTTCAAGTGACAACTTTTCCAGAAAACTGATGGAAAAAATAATCATATCAATCACTTACATGAAAATTTTGGGTATTAATGGACATGACCCAATTTGTTTCTTCTAGCTCAAATGATCGGAAAATCGACGAACATTGGAATTTTTGAGTTTGAACCTACGCACCGCACTCCTAATGGCCCTCAAATCAATAGAAAAATCCACTTCAAACTCAAAAAAGACTCAAAAAAAAAAAACCCGTTTTGGCTCGAATCCATTTAACGTCACATTTTGCACTCACTCCACTTATTCTCACTAGATTCATAAAGTCCTTGTTAACGAGCTTTTTCTCTGTTCTTTTGATTAATAGCATCTTGTTTTGTTTTCCTGGGCTTTTGCTTTATCCTTCCTACTATAGATCGCTGTATTTCAATTTTATTTGTAATCGTGGTCTGTTTTAAAGGATTATTTGCTTAATTGTGTCTGACCCAGCATTCGATTTCTTTTCCTGGGTTTCTTCACTTCATTTTATGGAATTACATTTTGGTTGACTTTTTGCAGAGTGATTGTGGATTTTTTTCATTGGTTACCATTCTATGTAATGCTCAATTGTGCTTCAACACAATCAACTTATACATCAATAAATTAACTACATCAGTAAGGAACAATGAACACATTTAAATACCAGTATTGGTCCTTTTGCACCTAGCTGATGTGAAGTAGAATCTGTTGAGTCTATCGTAGATGTTTCTGCATTCTACTTGATCGTTTGCATCGTTTCTAAATCAAATTCTGAAAATTGCCAATTTTTTGTGTGATCCTTCAAAAGATATTGCCATTCTTTTTTATCATATTTTTTTGGCAAATAATTCTTCTTTATGGCTATTTCCATCCAAATCATGGTTTAAATGAAATTCTGATAGCTGGGGTGTACTTGGTATTGCTGGTGATGTTGGAGCTTTTAGAATTGAAACAAAAATACGAAAAAAAGACAAGCCTAATGTAACATACAACTCAACTCGACTCAACAAAGCCTTGTTCCAACTATGTTTGGTTGGCTGCATGAATCATTGTCCACCATTGTGCTTTATCAAGAGCTATATAAACCATGTATTAAGAAAGAGATCCGTAAATAAACTTAAAGAATCGAGGACTTTTTTTTTTAGTGGACGAGCCTTAGAATTGGCAATTTTAGAAATCCCTTTCCCAAGCTGAGCAGAACTCTTGACTCTCACAGAATGAAGTGGCTCAGCTGTCTCAAGTTCAGGCTCCTAGCTATCTTTTTGGCTGTCTGCTGCTTCTGGAATCATTTTATTGCAGTTCACCCTTTCGAGAAAACTTCGGTGGAGCAGGGGTGCAAGCTTCTGTTCCTAGTATAGTAAACTTTGGTGAGCTAGATGTTGCAAAAATTGCACAATGAGACCAGCATCGGGCAGTGGATGCACTATTCTCATCTTTAGGTGGTCCAAATTTGACATTGAAAGAAGAAGCATCTCCAGTTACCCTGTTAAAACCAATAAAAATGCAAAATAAAGAAGATATGGGAGATGCAGTGTGTAAGATTTTATGTACAGTTAAGGAAGACAGAAGAAAACCTTCCAGCTTTTTGAGGGCATACGCCTTCTTCAACTCAAGTGTTCTTGTCAGTGCATGACTGAAAGATTGGTAAAATATGGTAAGAAGCAAAAATCAAAACAACAAAGGTGCGTTTGGTTTTAACCAATGCTCAAAGTATTGTTTCATTTCTACTGAAAAGCCTGAAACATTTCAGTTTCGAAATGAATTAGTGATTGATTACAAAATTCTCATGTTTGGAGATCAAAATTCTGTTTTTCTTCTGTGTTTCTATCCCATTATGTTGCTAAAACCTTTCTATAAAGTTTTCGTTTATGATCTAATCGAAACTATGCACCAAATACTAACTGTCATTTCTAATCAAGTACTAATAGATAAGATGAGTTCTTCTACGTGTAAATGCAAATGTACGTGTGCATACTTGCACATAATGTGACTTTTTATTTGTATTCTTTGGTGCTAGTACAATTTTTGAAAAACCTTGGACCTAAATGAAATTTCTTCAATGGCTTAAATAAAAGGGCATATTGCCATGGCTATTTCACTGTTGGAAGCAGCAGTTACCTGTACAGTTTTGTATCCTCCTTTCAAGTTGTTTGATTTTTGTAAGATTAATGTATTTGAAAGTTGAATCAAATACAATGTCAAAATGGGTTGGAGTTGGTGATGTGTTTTTGCTTCTGCTTTACTTGATTTTTTTTATGCATGAATGTCATCTATGAAAGCAAGGCTTTCATTTGTTTTGTTCGTTTGCTTCTTTGTAGGTTGGTGGTAAACAATGGCTGAAGTAATAAAGAAGTTCTTTATTGCATCAATGTTCATGTGGGTAGCTCCAATTGCAATTTTATATGGTTTTAACCATAACTTGTTTCCGGGTAAGCTTTGTTTATGTATTTATTTTTTTCATAGATAACCACAAGTGGCTATGGTTTCTTATGAGCATAGGTTTATTCCCCCCTTTTCCCCCCTTTACAACTGATGAATGTTTTACGTTATGAAGCATGGCTGGTTTTACAGCTCTTTTCTGCTTTAGCTGATGAGTATATGAAAACCAAAACACTCTCAGAGGCATCCTCCACTTACCCACGCGCCCTACTTCTATGGGCATACTAACTCAATGTTTCCCTATGCCATAAATGGGCACTTTAGTGGATTTGTCAAGCATCTTGACTCTTAGTTTTCTGTGGGCATTTACAGGTCACACTTGAGTCTCAGTCCTACTAGTTCTAGTTAAAGTCTTTACTTTGCTCACATATCTCAATTTCAAGAAAGAGAAAAAGTGTGACGTGCTTAATTTTTTCTCATAGGAATGGTATAAAAATGGCTAAAACGACCGAAAAAGGGTTGTTCATGCCATATCTTAGTATTTTAGTACCTATATTAAATCATGCGATGGTTGCTTTTATAGTTGACTATCTTTTATTTGTTTTGTGGAAGAGATGCTCAACATCGAAACAAGAAAGATTTTTGGGGTCTTTTTTGATAGGAAATAAAATGATCCTATTGATTTGGAAATGTTACGTCAGGATAGAGTAGGTCGACCAGCAGTCCAACCTATTTTCTAAAGAAGTTAAAAAAAAAATAAAGAAACAAAATGCAATAAACACGAATCACGTGAGGTTCTCCATCCCGCCAAATGCATGTGTGGTTGATCTGAGAGACTAATTCTTCTGAAGTAAATGAACTTAGCTTATGTTGTTCTTTGATAACAAAATGAAATTATATTATAAAAGGTTAATTACAAAAAATCTCCTTGGACTAATACCAATGATATTCTCCAAAAGAGAAGACCTAGTAAATGTCTTCTCCCTTTCGTGTGTTATGTGTAAGAATGATTGCGAGAGTGTGGATCATCTATTCTTGCATTTTCCAGTTGCTCGGCACATACGGAATAAGTTATTTTAGATGGTAGGGCATTCTTGGTTGGCTCCATGTTCCATTTCAACAATGTTGTGTGTAGACTATAATGAGTTTGGATGGAAGAGTAGTGAATTTACTCTTTGAAATTGTGGAATGTTTCTGGGTGGTATGGTCGGAGAGAAATGTAAGAATCTTTGAGGTAAGTGTGAGGTGAATGAAGGTTATGGAATCTCATATTTTTCTTAGCTTCCTTTTGGGCTTCAGTCTCTTAAGGAGTTTCAAATATGCCACATTTTGGAATCATGGCAAGTTGGACTGCTGTGTGCGGATGTCATTTTTCTTAATGTGTTTTTGATCTTCATGGAACACCTTTTTGGTGTAATGCTATGCAGTTGGACATCTTGTCCAACTCTGCTCTCCATTTTGTACTGTATCCATTTGTTTTATTAATAATATCTTTGTTTCCTATGAAAAAAAAAAACCTCCTTGTACTTGGGGTTAGTTGTAGATTTCTCCTTATACTCTAAATTTTTGCACTAAACCTCCAACTTGAAATCAAAGTGCAAAAGTAACGATATCTGTCCGTTTTTACAGTGCATGGCTTATTAGACGCGTTTCTAAACTGATGGGAGAATTACTCGCCCCTCATAAATTATAGGCAAAAGGAATAT